CCCATCCATTTTAGTTCACTGATACCCAGGATGTCAATGTTTATTCTTGCCATCTCCTGTTTGACCACATCCAGCTTACTAAGGTTCATAGATCTTACATTCCAGGTTCCTATACAGTATTTTTCTTTGCAGCATTGGACTTTCCTTTCACTTCCAGGTACGTCCACAGCTGAGTGTCCTTTCGGCTTTGGCCCAACCACTTCATTAGCTCTTGAGCTACTTGTCCTTGTCCTCCGCTGTTCCTCAGTAGCATGTTGGACACCTTCCGACCTGAGGGGCTCATCTTCCAGCATCGTATCTTTTAGCCTTTTGTTTCTGTTCATGGCATATTCTTGGTAAAGATACTGGAGTTGCTTGCCAATTCTTACTCCAGGTGGATAGTGTTCAGTCAGAACTCCTCACTATGACCTGTCCGTCTTGGGTGTCCCTGCACGGCGTAGCCCATAGCTTCTCTGAATTACTCAAGCCCCTTCGGCATGACAAAGCAGCAATCCATGAAGGAGATTTATATCACAGTAGCAACTTAGTTTTTGTAATGCAGTCAATGTAAAAATCTTACAACTCCTCTGTAATATAAATTGGTGTTGTTAGATATCACCAGTGGTAACAGTAACATGTGAAACCATCTAGTGAATTCATGTAAACCAGCAGATTTGAACCATGAACTTTCAAACTGGTAGCTTAGTTCCTTAACCACTACAGAGCACTGGAAAACAGGTGCTGTACCCTACATTGGAGAGGGTCAGCCTTTGCTATCATAACATCCAAAATAAACCTAATCTTATCCAGAGGCCATAATGTATGCACTTGAGGCTAAATTCAAACCCCAAATTCTATCAATCTCTACTTTGAAGTAAATCCCATTGGTCAGAAAGGGCTATAATTGTTTCCTAATAGTGAAATATGCAGCAAAGCTTTATTATATGATCAGTCTATACATTTTATATAGCATTTCCTCAAGATTCATACTATAGTTACAAGGAATCAAGATGTAGACAGAGCTCACAAAGCAAACAAATATAATTTCAATTGGTATTAATGCAGTTATCTCAGCCCAAAAGTATGCAAATGATGCTTTCCTATTCTGCACACAAATTTAATCAGAGTAACAAAATATGCACAAGTATGCAACATTATAAACAGCTGATGTCTTCAAAGTGGGAAAGGGGTCAAATCACCCATACTTTTCATGGAACCACACGGCATAGAATAAAAATTTTCTGTTCTTTTAAATCCCCAACCAGCCATGGAAATTCACTGGGTTTATGTGCGTTGGATAGGTAAAACAACTCCTCAAATGTCTCACTGACCTTGAAAGCCCTATTAGGTTCACTCACTTGATGGCACATAACATCTACCTGAAGGTTCTGTACTACAGTTTTCATTGTTAGTGAAGATGATGATAACGTATGTTTCAAACTAGGTGAAATAATTTTATTGCACCACCTCTGTACCACCCACTTTCATTATGTTCTTTAATCATTAATTCGAACCTGCATTCACTGTGTGTCATTTAGATCAAAATTTAAAGAAAGTACTGTACATTATAAAGAGGTTATTGGTGTTCAGTATGTTACAAGAGTGGTTTTAGCAGTGAGATACCCCGAGTGAGTTTCCATAGCTGAGTGAGGCTCTGAACCCAGGTCTCCTGAGTCCTAGTCCATCAGTCTGTCCACTATACTACACTGGCAAATATCCAGATGTTTTTGCTGCAATCAATATATCAAGAGGTCACATATGACAAAATGCTTTTTTTCTCTGTCCAGTTTGTCCTTTTATATTATTCTCCCTAGCCAGTCAGTGACTACAACAATCTACATCAAACTTTATACCTCATTTACAAACACCATACCCAGCTAAGATACAGTATATATTACTGAATTAGACAGTTATATTTGCTCATCACATTTGGAACAGCTCACAAAAAGTGTCACTTGTTGCAGTTGTAAAAATCCTTTATATATCTTAAAAACCATTATTTTCATTCTTCCGTTTTCAATTTCATTACACCCCATTACTACTTCAATTAGAACAGAGGCTACTCTATTACAAATATATACAGTACATTTTTTAAGTAACAATAGGCAGAATCCCATTGGTAGCTGTATTTCAGTGACCAGAATCTTACTGGTATCTGTATCACTTTCCATCAATGTTCCCTCTAAGCTGTGCAGTTGGGCAGCTGTGCAGTACTATATTGGTGCTGCGCATGCAGTTAGTGTTGCCGCTCATTTCATTAGGGTTGCAGCCCGAACTTTGCATGTGCAAGGCAGGGTAAGGTGGTGGAGAATTAGGGGAAACATTGTTTGCCACAGCTGGTTACGGCTAATTGATGGATTACTGGGGTGAGTCTTAGTCACAAGCTTGACAGAGTAACTAAGATGCACCTGGTCCATTAGCTGCAATTAAACATAGCCAGTTATACAAGCCTTGTGTGAACACAAAAAGAATTCTGGCCACTGTGTAGAAGTGTAGCATAAAATACAATATGAAAAGATGATTGGTAGTAGCCTCTATTCTAATTAAAGTGGTAATGAGGTGTAGTGAAATTGAAAAGGGAAGCAATGAAAGCCAGGCTTTAAAACAATTAAGGATTTATTTATTTTACAGATGCAGAGTGTTGCCATTATATAGTAAAATATTCTTAGTCCTTGGACGGATTGCACAAATGATCACCATCTTAGATTCACTCTGGTTTGGTTCTTTGTTCTGCCCAATTATTCTTTATCCGACTGTACACTACTTTACTTTTATTTTTTTTCTTAAGTCAGTATCAGAGTCAGCACAGGAGAATCCAAGAATCAGAGCCTTAGGCACAAATGGGCTGCAGCTCCAGGTGGTAAGAAGGTTCCTGCTTCATGGGTAGAGGGCATGCTTTGTACCATGCACTGCACCATTGCTTCCTTTGCTTTTCCCATCCTTCAAAAGCAGTCAGGTAGTTGTAAAAATCAGGTGCCACTGCTCTATCATTCACCTTTTGCGTCAATGCAGTAAGGATTGGTTCTATTCAAACTAAGCAGACGAAGAAAGAAAATGGTGGCTTTTGCTATTGCCTCTTCTTTGGGTGGTACACAGGCATCATTGCAGACAGGTAGAGCAAGCCTAGAGGCCTTTACCCACTTGCTTGCCATCTCTCTCTTGCCAGTACAGCTGGACACAATTCCCACAGCAGTCAATCAGAGAGTGAAGCTTTCTTATTGAGAGCACAGTCAGTTGCTTGTATGAAGAGCAGCTGTCTCATCTTCCTCTTTTCCAATTTGTCCATTCTTTGTTAGTAGCTCAGCCACCCCGAAAATGATCCTTCTCTTTGTTTCCAATGAGCAGAGATAACAGTTGCTTTGGACAAGCTACAGGTTCTGTTCATTCACTAATTCACTTTGAGAGGCCCCAGTGGGTTCTTTCCTTCTTATTGTGCCATTTGAAGAGAAGGCAAACGAACAGATACAGCCTCTCAGCCACAGGGAAAGATCTATCACTATAATGGCCAAACATTATTGCAGGGACATCAAACACTCCTACAAAAAGCAGCCTTCTCCTGTTATCTTCCTGCATCCCCAAGCAAAGAGAACTTCACTTCACACTACCATACCAATATGAACAGAAAGGACAATGCAGGCAGAGGTATAAGAGGTGCAGCTTATACTTCCTCTAACCCACTGGTTCTTAACCTTGGGTTACTCAGGAGTTTTGGACTGCAACTCCCAGAAGCCTTCACCACCAGCTGTCCTGACTGGGGTTTCTGGGAGTTGCAGTTCAAAAGCATCCGAGTAACAAAGGTTAAGAACCACTGCTCTAACCAATTCACCAGGCAATAGTTATAACAGCTGGTTGTTTTTAATTGACAACCTGTCCTGTCCCTGTGAGGAGCTTAATCTATTCCTAGTTCCTCTCTGGCCAGCACAGCAAGAACTGGGCCCAACAGAGCAAATGGAGAAGTAGAAATTGCAGCTGGCTTGAAGTAACTGCCCAGTAGAGACGACTGGTGAAGGAGTGAGATCTCTGCACACCTCTATTCTCCTTACACCAGTGGTGCAATTACATCATTTTAGATCCTGAGTGTTTTCCACTGGAATGTGTCTTATTTTACTGCCAAATGTGGGAAGCCAGCTTTGCTGCTTTAGAGGGGCCTCTTGCTCATTCAGCTGGGCAGGCCTTTTGTCCCATGTCCTACTTTTCTGCACCGTTGCCCTCAGTTTAGGCAAAGCAAGCCAGGTGGCAGCTCTGTCCCTGGTCAGCACCCCAGGACCCTATCATCCCTCTACGTTCCACACAAGAGGAAGCGAGTGTACAAAATGCTTTTTTTTTTTTTTACACACGTGAAGCAATAGGCACAGTGGGCAAAACTGGTATCTTCCTAGACGTTGAGGGGCCCCGCCACGAATCTGCCACTCGCCCTAAACGCTCTTCCCACCCTTGAACTTGCGCGACGTTCCGACAACCCATCTAGTCTCAACCCTCCCCCCCCCAACGGGTTAGGATTCAGTCCCGCCTCAAATTGTAACCCTCCCATACTCCGCCACACCCCTTCCCTATTCACCGCAGCTCGGTCTACTCCGTACCTCACTATCTCCCTCTCTTTTTCCCCCCTGCCCCCACCTCAGAGCTAACGCCTCTCCCCCCAAACTCCTCACACAGACCCCATTTCTTCCCTCAGCCTCTTTTTCCTCTTTGAAACGAGGAGCTTTTGCCTCCTCCCTTCCCGGCGTTGGCGGCGGCAGCAGCGGCAGCTGCACGCGGCCTTGCTTTCCTGCGGCGGCGCGCACGCACGTTCTTGCTCCTGGACTCCTCGTCGACTCCCCCCTCCCTCCGTCATTCTGCGAAACCAGCGAGGCAAAGCGCGCCTCCTCCTCCTCCTCCTCCTCTCCCCTCCCCCCCTCTTCCAGCCCCGAACTCTTGGCTTAATTGGCCCAGTCGGGAGCGCGCCTACGCGCGGCGGGTTTACTTTTCCTCAGGCGGCCGCGGCGGTGGAGGAGGAA